AATATACCAAGCTTTAATTATTTTGTACAGAAAACAAAACATTTTCAGCCATCTTCCTTAAAGCACGCCAGAGGTCATGTGAAATGCCAGAAATATTACTGGAACTCCATCGGTCCATTCTAGAAGCCACTCCCTCAGTAGCGTACAGATGTGCACTTAAGAAATATACATACGGGATCTCCCAGCTTTCATGTTTGACGGAATAATACTAAGTACAGCTTTAGATTTGTTGAGACCATAATTCCGCAGTTGCCTGCTATAAAAGAATTATCGAGTTATAACGAAAAACGCAAAAAGTTCGCGTTGGCTTGTTTAATCATATTTTGTCAAACGATTTTTGGCATTTGAAAGAGACTTGCTTTAGAACACTGTATTGTAAAATTTGGAGGGGGGGAAAGGAAAAATCGGTAGCATTTAGTACAAGGTATCTGAAACGGAACTATCACGTTACCCAGTTTTGTTGGAAAAAGTAAGTTACGGAATGTCACCAAATCATGTGTACAGCTTTAGGTACTAATGTTGACACTGAAATTTTTGTACCAAAAGCTCAAAATGAAACATTATGACATTCAAGAAGAGCGCTTTGGCTTTGATATTGTTGCAGCTCGCTTGCGAGAACTTGTGGAAGAATATCAGCATACGACTACTCGGAGAGCTCGCTAAGGAATTAAACGTTAATGCCACGTCCATTGGTCGCGCTATGCATCGCATAAACTTGACGTACTAGTTTAATCGCTGAGTGCCGCATGAGCTGACTTAAACAGGTAAGGACAGACGTGTTCGGGCCTGCACTAATCTGCTCGAATATCAGCGCAAGGGCAAAATTATGGACCGATCGTCACTTGTGATGAAAAATGTATTTAGTTCAACAACACAGGCCGAAAACGGGAATTTTCTGCGGAAAGCTCATTGGCAGCGTCGCAAAGCGCTGTGTGACTAACAAAAAGATCATGCTTTGTGTCTGGTGGGATTGCCATGATATTATCCACAAAGAGTATTTAGAAAAAAAGTAAAACCCTCGACAGTGAGATGCTAGTCCATGTTGACGCTGCTATCAAGGAAAAACGTCGAACTGAGTTCCGGTGCAAAAAGGTAACTTTCCCTCAAGATAATGCAAGACCACATGCGTCTGCATTCACCGGCTGGACTGTACGAATTCGAATGGGATCTTTTGCCACACCCATCGTATAGCCTCGACATCGCTCCTTCGGACATCTACCTTTTTTTACACCTACAGCTACATCTTGCTGGTGCTGTTTCCATTTTGCACAGGACATCCGAAATGAAGTTGATCTGTTGTTGGACTTGCGGCCACCAAGTTTCTGTGCCGAAGGCTCTAAAAAACTACCAAAGTGGTTGCAAGCAGATGTTTTGTTTCATCTGACATACTGTCCTCCCATAAAAAATTCTCCTAACCATGAGCCAAATGTTGGAGAACCATTCTTCTTTGTTTTTTGTTTCGCCATTTTATTTTGCCCGAAACTTCTGTTAAAATAATTTTATCTGGTGGCCATTTTTACACTTTTGTTCAGTGTACAAAATTCCGTGCTCATGTAAGAAAATCGCTGTTCTTTTTCAGTTGATAGCAACTTAAATATAGTCAACATTATAAAAGAAACATTAATATTGAAGAATAGAAAAAAATGAACGATATCAGAAAGAACCTAATTTTTATATTCAAATGATGGCAAGTTAAATTTGTCAACATTTGAAACGAAATTAATTACAGAACGATATCTCGTGTTTAAAAGTGAACTTGAAAATAAAAAATGTGCTGCATTATAAATATCACAAAAAAAATTATTTAAAAGTCAATATCGGATAGTGTCAAAAATTTGTTCTCCAGTTTATGAATGTCATTAAAAATCATTTCCGAAGTTATTTAATATATTATGATGAATAATCCTGTGAAAAAAAGACAAAAGATTTGTTTCAAAAATTGATTATTAATAAAAAGTGTAATAGAGTATGAATTTCAACTGTATGAAACGAACTGAAATGGAAGGATCCAGGAACGGCCATTAACATATAGGAGTGGTGATAAAATTAATTCTTTATTTTCTAATTCTGTTGTAACTGGAAATCGCGAACCAAGAAAGTCATTCAATTTTGAACTGAAAATTAATTAACCAAGAGACAGCATTATTACTTAAAAAACCGAATGTAAGAAAGTATTAAAATTAGAATGAAATGATCATTTAGTCATGTACATTTAGGTTGTAGCAAATGATGATTTCATTGATGATCAGTTAAAATTTATTGAGGGATACCATTACAGGGCATAACAAAATTTTTTACCGTTGATTATTTAAAAGTGAGTATTACATCATTTTTTCCTATAATCTTATTCAGATGTCTGGCCTTTATTTTTAATTTGTAATTAAGGCCTTTATTTTAAATTTGTAATAATAAAATATATTTTTAAAAAGTGATTTAATGGGCCGCTATAAAGAGCAAAGAAATTTGTACCAGCATTTGAAATCCATTTTTATTTCTATGTTCCATTTCTAAGAATAATTATAGTATTGCGTTATATAATCTATAAGGTATTTTCCCCTTCTTTCCTTATGCATTCGTGGTGTGACTGGAAGCACATTTGAGGAGACTAAGGGACACTGCACCTTTTTCAGCTCTCCTGCATCAAATAATAATAGAACAGTACACTCCCGATTATCCGCGGAATTGGATGGCGCGGCGCCGCTGATAACAGAAATCGCGGATAATCCGAAAAAAGCTAAAAACCGGGTATAGCAAAGAGGAAAACAGTCATTCCAACTTTCAAAAATCGTTTTATATGCAATAAAACGTAAAATAAACAGCAGGAAATGTTTAACTAACGCTTAATATTTTAGTATATCACTCAAAACTAACCTAAAATGCATTTTGTTAATGAAAACAGAAAAAGTGTGTTGTACTTAAGAGAGGGGCGTCAAGGATACACAGAAAATTAATACATATATACTGTTTTAAAACTGTAATGTATTATGTAATTACAAAAGCATAACTGTAAAACTACACCTTTTTGAAGAAATCAGCCATTTGTGTTTGCTTCTTGCTTTGGAAGCATTTTCTCTTGATCCGAGATTGCATTTTTCGTAGCATAAGTTTCTCGGCCAACTCCGCGTCGTCTTGTTCTTCCAAATAGCTCAGCTGTCCGTCGACTTGTTGCATAGCCGCTGCGTGAGTCTTCCGCCTCTGCACAGTGGGCTGTCCTTCGCCTTCACTTCGCTCTCCTTCATTCTCGGTCTCTCCCCTTGCTTTCTTCACAATTTCGTCATCTGTCAAGCGTTCGAAGCCGGATTCGTTGACGTCACACTACAACCACTCGTTGATGTTTTCAGCATCGACGTTCTCACCACCCGGAACTGATTTCACCATATCGGCAAGAGTTGCCGTGGGCGTGTCTACATCTTCATTCTCTTCTTCACGACTCAAAGGGGTTAGGTTGTTGTTGTCTTCAACATTAGGCATAAGTTTTCTCCATGATTTTATGAGGGTTGACGGTTTCACTGAGTCCCATGCAGATGCAATATCGTACATGTTGTCCAAGATTGTGTAGTGTTTCCAAAACTCTTTCAGATCATAACCTTCCTCAATTTTGGTCATTAGCAGCTTGGTTCGGTATGTTCTCTTCATTGTTACAATGACTCCTTGGTCCATGGGTTGGATTAGCGCAGTAACGTTTGGGGGGAGAAACTTTGCAAAAATGTGTCCATCAGAAGATTTTAGCCAACACCACCTAGAACTAACTCAAGGCCACGGCGCGCAGTTCGTGACGTCACTGCAGTAGGGATACTTTCGTCCTCGCCAACTTTAAGGGTGCCTTCTTAAATATCCATTTGAAAGGCTTATATAAAAATTGAAATTTTTATATTTAATTCTCATCGTTTATAAATCTGGAAAATACCTTGCTTTCATTAGAATGTGAAGAACCGAGATTTTTATTTTTAGAATGTTTTTCGATACGAATAACTAGAATTTTTAATTCCATTAAAAGTTATTACTGATGTTACTAAATTTAATCGCTGAGAAACTCTTGTTAACGAAAGAAACTTCACACTTAATGAATCGGAATTTTATTTGTACGCAATAATTAAACAGAAAGACAATTTAAGACATGAAGGCAGGATATAGATCCTAAAAAATTGAGATAAATTCTAACTGATTTAAATTATGAAGCTAATTTACCTGGAATCATGTAGCAACATAAAATCATTAGTTGAAAACAAATATAATTAATCAGAGATGTTTATTGGTCAAGGGTCGTATTAATTATACTTACAACAATTTATGCCTTGACTAATAAACATCTTTGATAGACTTTCTTTATAAGTAATATATCTTATTTTTGACATATGTTGCCGAATAATAATAAATACTCATGTTTGAAACAAATAACGCTAAGCTTGCAATGATTTAAATAAGTTTTTATAATTATTTGAGACATTAGGTGCACAGAGAGAATTGCATATTATTTTGCATTTTAAATGGCAAATATCAAATCTCTGATAGAGGTCTGATATAGATCTAAATAGCTAACCTCTGATCTTTACAGGGAAATTTTATAACATGGATTTAGCACTATTGAAGGCAAATGTAACAAATCCTAAACTGGGATATGTAGAACACAACAAATGAAAAACACAACTATCATTGCATTATTACTGCCGAATAAAATTACTAACATATAATGCCCTTAGGATGCACTAAATTATACATTACAATTCGAAACAATTTATACAGAAATACTTTAGATAATATGTATATGCTTATTTTCAATCAGTCAACTAAAAAGAGGAAGGATTGTTTTCAATCAGTCAACTAAAAAGAGGAAGGATAGAGGAAAAGAAGAAAATCATCGAAATTGTCTTTGCAGTCAATTCAGAATTATTCAAAACTGTCTGTAAACGGGGAAACGATAAATATTGCTTTTTTTTTTTTTTTTTTATCACAGACTGCATTTCATCAAATAAAAATGTATGGCATAATATTTCATAAAGACTACATTTCTATCTTTAGAAAGAATTTAAATTGTAGTCTTTATGAAATATCATGCCATACATTTTTATTTCCATACGTATGTATATGCATGCGTATAAATGTATGACAATATATTCGATTTCTTTGGAAAAAAAATTGCTTCGACATACTGCTATACAAAATATACAATTAGCTACCAAAGATGAGCATAACCTTTGAATTGTCCGAGGGTGAGGAGCCAAAATACACCCAGAACTCCTTAAAAATTTATAAGCATGGGGTGAAATTGTACATAAAATACTGAATAGTATCATACTCTCTGGAGAATACCGTAAGTTTTCTTTGGATGTATTAATTAATGTTAATTGCTCCCTAATGAATTGTATGGCTTTCTGCTTATTTTCATCGTATTGTTCTTCAATATTTTCTAAAGTTTCACAAACAGAATTTATTCTTAAATTCTGCACATCACTTTTAAATTCATACGACAACAAAGCGTTTAAAATAGAAATTACCTCATCTACATTGCCAACAGATGCTGGCAAAGTTAAATTATTAAATTTTTTAAGTTCAGTTTTCCCAATGTAAACTGAAAGTTCAAGTTTTTCGTTTATTAATGCTGAAATATTTATTTCAGGGCACGGTGTTAGCTCAATAATTAAAAAGATAGCTTCCCGTGCTCTTTTAATACAGTTCCACGAGCCAGGTAGCTTTTCTTTTCCCATCTTATCTAAAAATTCAGAAAAAGAAGAAAAGGATTTTTCTTTTTCATTCGTCTGAAACTGGGATATACTTTCAGTTACAGCCCACTGAAGATTTTTATTTTCTAGCCTTTTACGACGTTCATCTGGGCTTTCTCTCACGATAAATTCCCTTGAAATATATTTTGGGCAGTTTGGGAAAATACTAGGAATCGCAAAACGTTTTAATTTGTACCTCGATAAGGGAGCAGTCACCTTCCTTCCAGTCCTTTCATCAACGAATTCTGTACATTTTGAAATGTCCTCAGGGTGAAAATGAAGGGCACAAACCTATCAGCAAGAATTTGTATACATTAAGTTTTTCGGCTTTAAACTGAGCATACATTATTAAATTTCATTAAATTTGTAGCATAAAATAATACAGGTTAGGTTATTTTAATTATGGCAAAGCCTCGAGGGCTATCTGCCTAAGGGGAGGGATGCCTTCATGGAGGACTTTCTAAGGGAAACTGACTCGTATATACGTTACACATGGGGAAAACCCCGAAAACACCCATGCAGCCAGCCCGTTGGCGGGATTCGAACCTCGGACCGAACTACCAGTGTTCAGCGACTTAACCGCTCGGCCGCTGGTCGGCCACTAAAAAATAATATAAGTTAATGTTTATTCACGACTAATAGAAAGAAAATCATACTTATCTATTAATTGTATAAAGTGAAACAGGTACTAGTTTTGAAGAATAATGTCTAATTAGATAGAAAAATCTTTTGTCAAATAAAGTGTTGCATAAATTTAATTATTTACTTACAAAAAATACGAAACACTTGTATGCAAAGATTGTTATAATCGGATTTAATTATCTAAACTAGAATTAAATACAAGATTTTGTAAAACTTCATATTTAATGATTTATGTTATATTTATTAAGTGAATTTTAAGAATATCAGGCATGAACTCACAAAAATTTAAATAGCGTATTTTTTCGCATTAACATCAGAAACAAAATTGGTATTAGTTACAGAGATATTATCAAGATTTTTCAAGGTCTTCGGATTTTAATAAATACGCTGTTCCTGTGACAAATGTATCGAGATATTTAAATGCAAGCATTTTGCAACATACAAAATGTATTTACAATTTTGAATTTTTATTAATCCTACATTTAATCTAATCCTACTTTTAAGTCACACATTTGTTTAATTTACTTAACTTGGTAAATGATGCTATTTACTACAAATTGACTAGCATGACGATAAAGAATGCCATCTGCTATAGATTGAACGATTAGCATGATGATAAACAGTACTATCTGCTATAAATTAAATTAATAGTATGATTAAATCATCATACTTATATAATCACTATTAGACTTACAATAAGATTAAATATGTTTACTTTCTATAAATGTATGTACTCGCTTTAGTTTATGATAATTATAACATACTTAACACAGAAGCACTTTTTAAAGCACAGATAAGTATAAACTTATTCATTAAAAAAAAAAAAAAAAAAAAAAACGCAACTTACCTTCGAAAATTTTGTTGGCTTGAAATTGCTTCTATGAATCGCCTTTATCCATTTATTTAAGAATTCTTTCTCTTTCGGAAAAGAGAAAACCTGTACTTTTGGACCATTTGGATAGTTCCCTTTACAGTTAGGTACACAGCATGTGTAAACCATATCAAAAATTTGAAAAACAAATAATAAAGTGGAATACTTATAATATAGAAATATCTGAAAAAGGAAAGAAAATGTCGACTGTTCTTATGGACGATTTCTGACCAAGTGACTGTCAAAACTCCGGAAATCGACCCACCACAGTCCTGGGTGGGGAGAGTTAAATGAAATACAATCCCTACTGACACTGACGTCACACCTCCTCCTGGGAAACGCGCCGTGGCCTTCAGTTAGTTCTAGGAGGTGTTGTTTTAGCACGCTTAATGCTGGGTGAGAAGGTGCGTTGTCGATCAATAGCACAGCTTTTTCAGGCAGGTTTTTCGATTTAAGATGTTTAGTCACTTGAAGAACAAAGATTGTTTCGAACCATTTTTGAAAAATGTTTCGGTTCATCCTTTTTTTTTTTTTTTTTTTTTTTTTTTTTTGTTTGTTTGTTTGTTAAGGTAATCAACGAGCAAATTTTCTATCCTTCTGCCTTTGAAAGATCTCGGTTTTTTTTACTTTCCAATGACAACAAGTCTAAGTTTTATGTCTACCGGTAGCGTTACTGCAAGACATGATAGTGATCCTTTCCCTTGATAGTGCTTTCTTTATGACCCGTCGCTTTACTTTCACTTTCAAATGCTAAAGTGCGAGTGGGAAGACATTTCCACAAAAGTCCCGATTCGTCGGCATTGTAAATTTGTTCAAAAGATAGCTCTTCTTTTAAAACAAATTCTTCAAATTCATGGTGGAAATCGTCGGCTGCTTGTTGGTCACCACTAAGTTTCTTCCCATGAAGTCCAATTTCTCGAATTCCATGTCGCTGCTTAAAACGAGTCAACCAGCCAGAAGACGCATCAAAATTTCCTTTCAGACCTAACAACTCAAAAAAGGTTTTTGCCTTCGCCGCAATTGATAGGACCATTTATAGGAGTACCCTCTTTTCGAACTTGAGCTAACCACTCTGTCAATGCGGTGTCTATCTCATCAAAGGTAGAACCCTTCATAGTTTTTCGCGTTTTCATTGCGGAAGCACTGTCCGACATTGATGCAAAGTTCACCAGTTTGTCTTTTTGCTTTAGAATGTCACGCACTGTTGTTTCCGCGATTCTGTAATCGAATTCCATCTGCTGCCTTATAGCGTCGTTTGCTACTTTGGAAATTAATTCTAGTTTTTGAACACAACCTTCTACGTTTTCCTGACATTTTAAATCGATAACGAGAAACACAAAACCAAAAAGCACAAGCACTGAACACAATAAAAGATAAGAAATTAACTCCGACCGGTTCGCAAACACTATCAGTCTTAAACTAACAATGGCAAATGAGAGGAAGTGGACGTGTCAAGCACGATGTTAGTAAATTTAACGTTTCTCTCAGTTTTGTGAACATATTTATTTTCTTTACTTTACGCTTGCGGGGAAAAAATAAAAAAAACCTTTGTGCGGCAGGGGCGGATAATCGGGAGTGTACATTAATACGCTTGTGTAATGTCCGCACTTGAACTTTGCAGATAAAATTTATATTAAAAAAAAGTGACTCGCACTATGTCCTCACCGCAAAAACTAAACAATTTCTTACTTTAAAATATATTTTTTTAACATCGCCTTTTCCCTTCAGTCAATAAAACTTCTTTAAAGAAAGAGTATGCATTTATTTTGTCTTTGGTTGGCGCCAAGGTGGAAAGCAGACTTTCCTTGCCTTCTGGTGCAGCTGTTATTCAATCATAACATAGGTGCTAGCAATCCACTCGGCAGATTGCGATAATAAATGAAGGCAGTCCAAGCAGGTTTTCACCAACCTTGCTTCCAAGAAATACTGTTTTGTAATGAAATTATTTTCCTCTCCTTCCTCTTTGGAGCATTCGCATATTTCAAGCTTTCTCTTTTCATTCATTCATTCATCATTTGAAATTCGTGGTAGTTCGCAAGTAGCGTGCTTGAAATGGGAAGATACAGCAGCTTTTAAACTGAAAGTCTTAGAATTTACGCAGGAAAGTGGAAAACAGCAGTAGCAAGAATATATAAGGTGGACAAAAAGTGTGTGTGCAATTAGAGCAAACAGCGTGATCAACTGGCAACGAACAAAACAAAACATGCTTTTCTTGGTTCGAAATGTAAGTTTCCGAACTTAGGGAAAAAAAGTAGTTGCGTTATGTTCGTGATACGCGTGATAATGGGTACGCAGTAACACGGGAAATGTGCCAAATAAGAGCGCTTGCTGCGGCACGAGAAGACATTCCTACATCACAATTCAAGGTAAGTGAAGGCTGGTTGCGGCGAATGATGAAACGAAATGGATTTCGTTTTGCCGACGTACGACAATATGTCAAAAAGTGCCCAGTGACTATGAAGATAAGTTGATGTCTTTTCATCGCTTCATCATCGCAAAGCGAATCATTATTTAGCTTCACAAATTGCGAATGCCGATCAGACGCCAGTTTTATTTTGATTTATCCAGACAATTACACCGTAAATGAACAGGTTGCAAGATCTGTATCAATACGCACATGCGGATATGAAAAACAAAGAGCAACTGTTATGTTAGCAGTTACTGCCAGTGGCAAAAAACTTCCATTGTACGTGGTTTTTAAGCTAAAAACAATGTCGAAAGAAAAACTGCCACCAAGAATTATGGTACGAATTCAAAGAGAAGGGGTGGATGGTTGAGGCTTTTATTCAGGACAGGCTACAGAGTGTGTGGTATAAACGATCTAGAGCTCTGTTGCCGCTACCGTCTCTTCTCTTGTTGGACATCTTCAAAGGGCATCTCACAAACGCAGTGAAACAAATCTTGAAACCTCAAGAATTGATCTTGCTGTGATTCCAAGAGGTCCAACTTCCATTCTTCAGACACTTAATGTTTGTACAAACAACCCATTTAAAATGGCATTCAAACGGAGCTACCGTAATTAAATGACTTCCGGAAGAGGGGAGACCACGGCAGCTGGACGTCTGAGAAGGGCATCCATCTCAGAAGTGTGGATTATTGCTTCGTGGAAAAGCATATCCGACGATGTGATTGTGAAAAGTTTTAAAGTAACTGGTATATCAAATGCTTTGGATGGAACAGGAAGTTATCTGCTTTGGAAGGATAACCTGAATGAAGAAAATGAGGAAGATGTGAGTGAAGAAGGGGATGACGATGATAACTAATACATGGAAAAAGGAATAAAAGTAATGGTACTACGTGTGTGTTGAAATTTTTTCGTGATAAGTTTTTAAATACTGCTTAGAATTTGAATTTTAATCTTCAATGTGTACGCATTGTGTTTGCGTTAACAATTAGTGTTTGCTGATGCAATTGGAAATGATTTGCAAGGACGAAATAAAGGTGAGATAAAAAAATGTTTACTGATTAATTTATTTGCACTCATATACTAAGTATTGTTCACAATGCTTTCCCCCTTGCGGAAGCTTGAAATTAGAAATAATACCGTTCACTGATTCTCCACTATGTGGCTGCCACTACAGTTCTTGCATTGACATCTTGTGTATTTTTATGCTGCTGTTTGCAGGAGAAAGATTTGACATTCGCACACGCAGACATAACAACCAAAATTTTCATACAGTGCGTCAGAACAGATTTTGTTTAAAAATAATGTGTGCAAGGTATTAAAAAGAACCAACGTTTATTAAAATTATGTCATTTTCAATGGCTTGTTTATACAAACATCAAGTAAAAGTAAATATTAAAATTGCAAGTGTTAGTTAATTTGTGCCTCTATACTGTGCTCCTGTGCAAACTAATACGCGCCGAGTGTTGATAACGTAAACGATGCAATTTATATTATATATGTGGGTGGGAGAAAAAGAGTTTGTAAATTTTAGGTAGCTATTAATCACCTTTAAATTTGATAATTTTATTACTTATGCCATTTTCTTCCGTCACGTTCCCATGTGTTCTCTTTTCTACTTCATTCCTTAATTACTTATTGTATTTTACGCATTCACCATATGAAATGTTAAAATTGATCTACGAAACGTCAGTCTGGAGATTTATCTTCGTCTGGATGACTTCATGGCCCGGGAAATGGCTTTTGCCTTTTCGCTCCCTTCCACACCATCATGTTAACCACAATTCTGTGTTATCTTCTCTTACCGACGCAGTTCTGTACAGGATGGGACTTCAACCCAGGCGCTTGACCATGTGGCTAATTCATCTGTCATTTCATAACGTTAGTCAAATTGTTGTTCACAATAAGCCATGCATTTTCCCCGTTTTCGTATACAAACAGGCGGGACTTCGGCAATTCAATTCCAGTATCCGAGTATCCGAATAATATTAACCGTGATCACATTCGGCTGCGTGTAAACTGTAGCCAGTAAAATGTTTGGCTATTCTATCTGCTCCATATGTATGCTGAATCGTGAAAGTGAAGACGAGAAAGTGATAAGTGATTCTGATTTGTTCCGAAGGGCCAGGTTGGAATCCTGGAGAAGGCACAAATGTGAATGGTCTGACCCTTCATAGAAGGCAATGGTGGCCCACCTATTAAGTGCCTTTTTAATACAGTGACCACCGCTTCCGGCCTTAGTAGTGTCCAACGCCTATAATGGCTAGTACCCGCCGTTGGGGGAAAAAAGAGTTTAGGACAGTTGTTAAAATCTGAGCTATTTCAGTGCCCCCTATTCTTATTAAGATTGAATTACGAAAACAGAAGCTCGAAATGCTTAAAGCTGCTGATATCGCTAAGAAAGTAGCTCGAAAGGCGATTTATCTTGAACGCTATGTTATCGCAATGTAAATAAATGATCCATATATCTTTGACGATTTATACCGGTGTGCTTCAGGTTTTCGAAGCGGATGCAGTGGAAAATTCTAGCCGATTTTCTGCATGCTCTTGACATGCATTATACAACTCGAAAATGTCATCTGCTATAAAAAGGAATATAGTTATCGTATATAAATCATATTCTGATCTTTTATTGAAGCACTCGCTGAATAACAATGAAGATGCAGTAACTGTAGTTTAGAATTCAACAAGCTGAGTGATGTGAAAGAAATATGTTGCCACTCGGCGAGATGTAAGATATTTATGTTTTATATTTAATCAGAATGTTCAGTAATTTAGAAG